TGAATACGGTGCGCATGAAGCATTTGGAGACGCAGATTGGGTTGAGGTCGGAGGTGCTGTTGGAGGGGTAGTGTTGAGGTTGTCGGTGTGGTGTCGGTGTTGATGGCTCGGGGTGGGGGGGGGAAATGGTTAGGCTAAGGATTGGGAGGTCTACGTGGGTTTCAACCTATTGGACGAGGAAGACTGTAAATTCCACTCATAAGGCTTCCAAGATTGTCATGGCAATTTCGTTCACAAGGAAACTCATCCATTATAGTAAAGGCAGGGAATAGATTCACGCTGAGAGTCCCCCTAGCCAACCCAACAGACAAGCAGATATATGAATCCACACTACCTAGAGACGGTGTTGAACATGACCACGTCGCACTTCTCTGTTCCGTCCGTCAACTCTACAACCTCTACATCCGTTCCCCCTGTCATGTCCCGCAAGCCCTCCTGCTCTGCCCAGAACACATCTGCTGCTCTCACCCGCAAGTTCTCCAGGTATGCTGCGCAGTCGTCTGCTGTCTCAGTCCTCTGTTCTCCCTTCGTATCATGCAGCAAGCTGGCTCCAGCCCTCGGAAGATGGGGATGAATCTGGCAGGGCCCAGACAGGCACTCCTCGAAGTGGATCGTGCTAACCTCGTAGGCGTAAATGAGGTCGACGGGAGCTTGCCACTCCTCATTCCGACCAACGATCGCCTCAGCCTCAGGGCCCGGGTTTGCTTCCGTGCCAAGAAGGCGTGCTGTTATAGTCGTCTTCGTCTCCCGGTGCTCGAGAGAAAGCTTTCTCATCTTGAATCCGAAGGCAACCTTGATGCCCGTGATCATGAACACCGACGTCCGGCCAAACCCGCTTCGCATCACACTCCGTACTTCCGGATGTAAGCTGCGCTCAGTGGCCTCCTCATTAGTAGGGTAATGCTGTAATTGGATGCTTTCCAGCCGGTCGTAGGAGTAATTCGCAGGGTCAAGCAGAGTGCTTCCGCCACCGGGAGCAGTATCGGCAAAGCGCAGGAATCTCTTCCAGATTTGCCCGTGGACTCTAGTAAAGTCGTGGTCACTCATCAACATGCCCTCGACGTCCGTGCGTAATACGAGGATGGGAGGCTCCGTGGGGCTGCTGAGGATCTTAGTTGCTTCTCGCCAGTCAGCGACGATATTTCCCGGATTCGTTGCAAATGACCAGTGGAAGTCAAAGCCAGGCACTAGAATATAAGATTTATTCATGGTTTCCATCCCTATGGTACGGTCAGTCTGGGTGTTTATTAGCTACTCCGTCGGGGTCTGGGTCTTACCGTTTGAACGACGGGGTTTTCTCGGTCGTGCGAGTTGGCTTGACAATGTGAAGATGAGAGAGGTTAGTGAGCAAGAAGGAGGGGTTAATAAACCTGGAGATCTGGCAGAAAACAGATTGGCATTGATGATCTTCACCTAGCAGCAAAAGCAGACCCCTTCCATATCCCACTGTCAAGTTCAGTCTAGTTGGTGGAGCATGGAAGTTCAGGCCACGGAAGATCAGATGGGCTAGACCGTCGTCCAGTCCTGATGTCTGCAAACGCCACTGCTCAGTGACCTCGCTCGCATGTTTTTGTCAGCCTGAAATACTGAGAGGAGAAGCCATGACTGGCAATCCGAAGCTTCATCAGGCTGTTTGCAAGTGATCACTCCGGCCTTGTTAATGGCACATGCCTCAGCCATGTTCGTAAGGGTGATTGGCCACTGGCTGAGACAAAGCATTCAGTCAAACAAAGCTAATTTGTGATTCAATTGTCGCTTGAAGCTTTCCACGGCTCACCACCTGCCTCCAACAATCCATGGCTTGTTGCTGATGGCTAGACTATTTGTTGTGGAGCAAACAGATGGACAGCCGCTGGTGGGACTCAAACGCACTATCAACATCGAACAAGGTCGGTTTGTAGGTCGTGTTTGATACCCCTGAAAGTACCTCTGCAGTGGGATCTCCGAAATGCCAGTTTCAGAGCCAGGAGTTGTGTCTTGCCCAGTGGCCCAGTGCAGTAGGTGCCAGGTGGAAGGTATCGCTCACCAAATCTGGCAGAAGCGGCAGGCGCCGGCAAAACTACGGAGCCTGAGGCACCAAGCAAGTTGGAGCCTGGAGAAGTGAGGCGCCTGCCTCTATTTTTGGGTGTTTACTGTGTTTTTTGCCCCACCAAGCGCGGGTCCCTTGTAGAGGCGGCCCCCGCATGAGACAGTCGATCTCGCCCTCACAATTCTCTCGCTCATTGCCATCCTCAACAATTTTTACTCTACTAGGTAGGGGGGCAGAGGACCGCTCAGTGCCTCCAGCGCAATGGACCGTCTACCAGCCGAGCTCATCCTCTCCATTGCCCAGCTCATCGAGAAGCATACACTATGTTCCCTGATCCGATGCTGTCGGCGCTTATACGACGTCCTTCAACCGCTAATCTACACGAAAATCCGCCTGGTCTCGCCTTTGTCGGACAGCTATATCTCTCTGGTCATGCGCATGTGGCGTTATCCTGAGATAGCCCGTCATGTGCGCCATGCAGAGATGCATCTCCCGATCATCCGTCATCACCGCCCTCGGCCTCTACCTCAGCTAGACGAGACAAAGGTCCCCGGGCTCCAGGTATTCCTTCAGGATGTACAGAGTGAGATGTTCGATCTCAAGGACACGCGCCGACGCGATTGGTGGGGTAAAGGGTTGAGAGGCAGTGAATGGTGCTTCTGGCTGGGGGTGTTGCTCGTCCGGTTGACACGTCTCGAGAGTATAGAGTTTGTGGGTCTCTACAACAACATCGCGATCTGCGACCTTCTGTACAGAGCCGCCAAACAGCAGCGGCCGTTCCAGGAGGCACCTCCTTATCCTCTGCTGCGGCACATTACCGTACGAGACTGCGAGCAGGGGTTCGAGCTCGAAGAGGTCCTGACTCCCTTCTTCTACTTGCCCGCCGTGGAGTCTGTTGATATCAGCCAGCTGTGGGATGGGCGAGGACGGGATGATCCTCTGGAGTGGCGGCGGGAGGCCAGCTGCGCCCGTTGCCCGGTCAAGGAGATCGTCATTCGATCCTTGAAGCACTCGCGTGGCACGCTCACCTGGCTCGCAGACTGCACGGACCTGGAGCGTATCTCGGTGCGGATCGCCTGCATCTTCGTCGGTTACCCGGAGATCCGGTTCGGGGTGCCGTTCAACCCAGCGCGCTTTGTCAGGAACCTTCTTCCGTTCAGGAAAACCTTGAAGAGTCTGGACATCGAGTACGACCAAGTATACCACGCCTTGCTGAACGCCCCCGGGCCGATAGAACTGTACCATGAGGACATCTACTGGCTCACCGAGGACGAGCAGAACCTGGATCATTGCAATGCGCCCGTGGACTCACTGCGCGACTTCGAAGTCCTCGAAGAGGTGTCGCTGCGACACGCCAACCTCTTACCAGCGGTGGATGGAGCTTCTGCTCGAGGCATTCTCGCGGACCGGCTCCCGAAATCCCTTAGGCGTCTTCGCATCCTCAACATCGTGGAAAGCCGCTACACAGATCTACTTGCGGAGCTCGTCATCCTCGTCACTACTGCCCGCGATACCTTCCCCAACCTGAACCAAATCCAGCTCCCGAGAAACACCGTGGACGAGATGTCATTACCCGCTTTCCAACTTGACTGCACAAACGCGGGAGTATCATTCCAATACTTCTAGATCCAGCCAAATGCCAGCCAACCCATGGCCTCACAAACACTCAACCACCCATCCTCGATCCACAACCCGTGACCTCTTACAAACAAGTCAACAAATCCCCCAACTTCTCCAACACCACGCCCTGCACCGTGGCATTCGCATCGAGCTTATCGCTCGCCAACCCCACCGAAACACTAACGTAGCACCCATCCGAATCCACCACAGAGGTCTCCGTCGGCAACCGCGTCGACCCGCACGTCTCAACATCATCCGCCGTGATCAACGGCAACGCCGTATGGATCCGCGACAACACGAAGCTAAACTCGTCCGCCGACGCGCAACTACCACCGTCCGTCACCGCCCCAAAGTTCACATTCAACCACACATTGGCCGGGAGGTACGGCGCGCCGCCCGCGATCAGCTGATCCGTCAGCTTGGTCGCCAGCGCCGCGTACACCTGGCTGTACAGGGGCACGGCCGAGACGTTCCACGCCGTCTGCGCGCCCGTGGCACCCGAGAACGCGACCGCGGGGATCCCCGCCGTGTTGGCCGCGTAGGTGGCCGCGCCGGCGGTCCCAGAAAAGAACACCTCCCACCCAAGGTTGGAGCCCACGTTGGGCCCCGTCACGGCGAGATCGGGGGCGGCGCCAGAGAAGAAGGTTGAGGCCAGCGTGTTGATCCCGTATTTGATCGACGTGACCGGATAGGAGTTGACGTAGTTGAAGCGCGGTTGCGTCGCGTTCGAGCCGTAGGCCGGGCTGCCGGCGGGGCAGCTGTTGAATTCGCAGGCGGAGGTTAGGACGGTCGGGGTGCCGTCGTCGGAGCCTTTTGATTTTTGTCCTTGAGTTAGCTCTGTAGGAACATCTCGAGGGGTCTGGAGTATGCGGCTATTTCTGTTGTTGCTGCGGGGTTGTTGGGGGGGGGGGGGGGGGGCTTTAAAAGCTGTACGTACCAGTGCCGCTCTCGTTCTCAGCCGGGGCGGAGATCACCACCGAATGGCCTGCCTCGGTGAGGGAGTCGTAGAGCTGCCGGATGTTGATCTCCGCCCAACCATCATCATTCGACGAAATGATGTTGATGGCGTGGGCGGAGAGAGGCAGGAGGGCCAGGGCAGCGACGGGGAAATGCATGATTGCGGACTGTACACTACACAGAGCAAAATGTCTACGGTAGGGCACGAGGGCCGGGTCTATATAGCTGGGGTGTTATCGCTACATTATGCCAGGAACTTCCATGGAAGAATAGCCGAGCTCTCCACTCCAAAGCCAAGTTTTGGCAGCTCAACGGTTAATCTTTCCCCTATGCATCTGAGGCCAGGAAGAGCAGGTCGACATGTCGATCGCCGAGGATGCTGCCTGTCACCAACCAGTGCGGCCACGTGCAGGGCGATTCCTCGGCTATAATGTTTACCTGACTATCACACATAATCTACGGAAATAAAATGGCCAAGCTGTCTACTCAGAACAATATGGAAGGGCGGCAAGTGGGTCCTGCCGCACCACCCATCGATCCACCAATGCTTCATTGTTTGAGCACATGGGCTTTCTGGCCTGTTCACAATTCCTGCATGCACGGCACAGCGGACCTGCAGGACTGACTATTCACGGAACCCAAGCGGTCCGTCCCCAAATCCTCTCGGCCAGATTCTGCACCAGCTGCAGCTTTTCCCACATCTTCTCTTCCGTCATCCCAATGCCCCGACCGCGACTGACGCTCGAGAACCCACACTGCGGACTCACCCCTAACGTGGTGTCGAGGACCTCCTGTCGACTACGGCCCTGACCCTGAGCAATCACATCCGCCGCCGCGTACACGCGGGCCTCGAGCTCGTCGAGAGACTCCATCTCCGGACTCTTGGTCGAGACGACGCCCAGCACCACGTTCTTACCCACGGGCAGGTACCGCAGCGGCTGGAAGTCTCCCGCTCGCTCCGTGTCGTACTCGAGATAAAAGGTGTCGAAGTCCAGTCCCGTGAACAGGCGCCGCGCAATGCGCTCGTACGATCCGCTGATGATGTGGGTTGAGCCGGGCATATTGCCCCGACAGAGATGGATGCCCACGTGCAGGTCCGCTGGTCGACCCACCAGACACTGGTTGTGTGCCCAGATGTATAAGTCGAGCAACTCTTCCGGGTCGATGCCGTCTGCGTGGCAGCCCGAGCGGAACTCGTCCGTCACGAAATACAGCAGCTGGGGGTCGTCCACCTGAATCGACCGCAGGCCTGCATCATACAACGTCTGCAGCTCCTGAACGTACGCTTGGGCCAGATCGGCAAAGTACTCTTTGTCCGTCGTGTAGGGGCTACGGTCAGTGAAGGCAGTGCCGGCGCGCAGCTGCAAATGCTGCCAAGTGATGGGAGGGATGGTAATCTTGCACTCTTTCCATTCTGCCGGGGGCACAAGGCTCCGCAGGTACTCCCAGTCCGCGAGGTACGGACTCTCCACGTAGCGGACTTTGTCGACTGCGATTACTGCTTCCCGGGCTGTCATCCCGTTGCGGATCATGATGTTCACCACGGGAAGTCCAATTCGTAGTCCCGCGGGGACAGGCACGTCCGGGACAATCTTGAAGCCGTGGAGGCGTTCGAAGAATCCAGAATAATAGATGGTTCGCTCGTATTCTCCGGACATGATGGGTCGCACCTTCCGCTGCAGTTGCTGCTCGACCGCTCGGGCGATCGCATCGTCTGTAATTTTTCTGAGGGCGTCAGGGACCGGTTCGGTGGTATACGACACGAGTTGTCCGGTGGCAGCCCGTGCGGCAACGAGTTCATCAGGCCGGAGCAGCGAACCTATCTGCTCGGCGCGAAACTGGGGAGCCATGTTGCTGATGAAGGTTTCTGTATCTCTTGGCTTGTGTTTGGGACGTGGTCCACGGATAGAATGTATCAAAAATCCTCAACTCCCTTCCAGTGAGCCGAGAAGAAGCTGGCATTTTGAGGGGAACAGATCCGGGGTCAGACGTGCGGAGAAGGTGGAGTGCGAGTGCGGAGATGGCTGCGGAAAAGGTCATATCCAGCACAGACCGTCAGCCTTCTTCGTCAGTCGCTCCCATAGCCAACCCTTGTCGTACTGAGCTATATTTTTGCAGCAGTGTCAGCAGGGTTTCTCACCATAAGCCAGGAAGACTGGTCCAGGTGATCAATGGCATGGATGGTACATCCACCAGAGCTCTAAAAGAGGTTTCAGTTTGCGGTAAGTGCTGCCGTTCCTCCAACTCGTCGAGTCTGACCTGGTTGGTTGGTAGAGACTCCGATCACAAGTTGTTTGCTCTTGCACTATGGCTATTCAGTGACATTAAACTCGGTTGCTGTGGTCGTCATCCCTGACAGCTTAACAGGCAAGTTGAAGTGAGGGTTGTTCCAGGCCTCTCCTGGTGTCGTGGACTTGAGGATAACAGAATCTTCATGCTTCCGAGCTTACCGTGTGTGTTGAATGTCTCCGCTGTTGGTCTTCTGAATATCCTTCATGAGGATATTTAGAATAAAGTCAGGTGCTGTAAAGTAGTTGCACAAGAGATGCCTCCATCACGAAGCCATGCTTACTCGCCCAAACTGGTTAGCAGCCGTCCGCTTCCATGTTATCACGTGGCTCTGATGCTACACCCAATGCGGACCGTCTGCTTACCAAGCCGCGTCACAAATCTCCGTTTCATACAGGATACCGATTGGCAGTCCATAATCTCACAAGTGGATGTTCTTGCTATCTCCCACCAATTGCACTCACTTCGATCACTGCCCTTTCTAGTCTCCATGACGCACTCCTTGAAGTAGTCCCTGAAGTTTCATCCAATCGATGCATGGCCACTAGCGATTAACTCAGGCGGGCGTTCGCCTTGGCTTCGATTTCTCCCCTGCAACCCCCCTCCCCCATGGTAGTGAGGGAGCACATTTTCTCTATCTTCACCTTCTTTCGTTAACTCCTTTAATCGTGCAGGCTGGCAGCGCCTCCTTTAATCTACACAATAATCATACAGTCCCTCGTTCACCCCCTCTGCATGCCTTGAAAACTCACGTATGCCCCAATTTATCCCTGGCAACACCAGCAACAACAACACCACCGGCCTCGAGCGGCGCCTGGGGGACCCGAACGTCGAGGAGTATGTGTTCCCGATCCTCATCGCTCTGGCGTGGTGCAACGCCCTGGAGCTGCTCGTGCTGTGCTTCAACACCTTCAAGCGGTACACGGGCTCCTACTTCTGGAGCCTCCTGATCGCCTCCGTGAGCATCCTACCCTTCGGGCTGGGCTACCTGCTCAAGATGTTCGACATCACCGCCACGCACTTCTACCTGGAGATCGCCATCTCCGACCTTGGCTGGGCCGGCATGGTCACGGGCCAGTCGCTAGTGCTATGGTCGCGGCTGCACCTGGTCGTGCACAACCGGCGCCTGCTGCGCGCGCTGTTCAGGCTGATCGTCGTCGACGGCGTGCTGCTGCACACCTGCGCCACCGCCCTGGAGTTCGCGACCAACGCCCTCCCCAGCTCTCCGGCCGTCTCGCTCGGGTTCGGCATCATCGAACGCATCCAGGTCACCTGGTTCTGCGTCCAGGAGCTGCTTCTCTCCGGTGTGTACATTGTCGCGACCGCCCGCCTGCTCCGCCTCGACCGCGGCAGCCCCTCGTCGCGTGCCCTCCTCTCCCAGCTCCTGCTCGTCAACGTCGTCATCGTGTTCTTGGACCTCGCCGTCGTCGCCATCCAGTGGGCCGGCTTCTTCACCTTCCAGGTCACCTTCAAGGCCCTCGCCTACAGCATCAAGCTGAAGCTCGAGTATATCATTCTGGGGAGGCTCGTCGACGTCGCTCACATCCGGACGCAGGGCGCCGGGCCCCGGTTTCGCATATGAACCAATCGGCCTGCCCAAAAGGCATCGGGCCGGGCGTACGTATGAGTTTCTAAAGTACATTTTGCTATGTATATAATTTCCACCCCTTTCAGCCCTGTACATCCCATAGAGAACATATTCTCCGATGATTAGATTCCTCGGATTTCAGAGGGGTGCGATGACTATGACGCGCTACATTCTCAACCCACCACACCGGTACGAATTCGTAACTATCCACCTCCGACCCACATAGCCAACCGCACATGGGGGAACTGGAACCCGCGGGGTAGAATCTCCCCATTTCGACCCGTGCGTTTAAGCACAGCGTCATCCCGACCCTTCCGCTCCAACCTTCCTTCTCCTCAAAACCCTTGCGGAAAGTGGGTATACCTGCCCGCAGTGAGTCGCTAGCAATTCATTGCTCCCTGTGTCACTCCTCCCTCACCAGCCCAGTCAGATTGCCCTAAAATTACTTCGAAGAAAGGAGTGAGTACTATACTACGACAGATAATCTATAAGTCGAAAGACATTCTACCAATGAATGTAGACATTCATTCTAAGATATAGACGTTCGATCTGATATAGACATTCAATCCGATATAGATATTCATTCCGATATAGACATTCAACCCAGATATAGACATTATGTGCAAGAGGGTCTAGGTCACTATTTACAAACAATCAACAGAAAATCAAATCTTCTTCTCTGTCTGCTCGGCCTCGATCTCCAGCCGCTGCGCCTGGACCATGGTCGCGATCGCGTCCTCGGTCTTGAGGTAGGTATGCCGGCCCTGGAGGAACCAGAACCCGACCGCCACCACGAGCATGACCCCGAACACCGCGATCGCCCAGTTCATATCGCTGGCCGACGGGTTGGGGGCGCCCGGGAACAAGAAGAATATCGTGGTCACGATGCAGTAGATGACGCTGATGTAGTTGATGGGGGCGCCCCAGCGGCCGAGGTGGAACTCGCCGGGCGGGAGCTTGTCGCGGCCGACGATCAGCAGCGCGGCGATCGGGAGGCCGTACGAAATGGTCAGCGCGATCGTGCTGACGCTCAGGATGGCTTGGAGGACGGTGTCGGCGAACAGGTACAGGACCCCGACCAGCGCAATCAAAAAGCCCTGGAACCACAGCGCCCGTGCGGGAACCTTCCACACCGGGTCAACGTGCATCAAATACCCGCTCCAGGGGAGGCCACCGTCCCGGGCGAAGCCCCAGGTTAGCCGAGAGGCGGTAGTGAGGATGCTGATGCCCTGTCCGAGGCCGTTGAAGATGAACAAGGCCAAGAGGGTGGCGCCGCCTTCCAAGCCCACGGTTTCCAGCATCAATTCCATGAAGGGCAGGCCGGTCGCTGAGTTGATGACATTGTCGACGTCCTGGATCGAGAACAGACAGACCACCATGAAAATGAAACCAGTGATCGCGCCCATCAGAACCGAAAGCCAGATTACGCGCGGAGCGTTGCGGCGCGGCGCAGGAATCTCCTCCACCATGTGAATTACCGCATCAAAGGCTGTCAGTCCGTACGCCGCCTGCACCAGGCCAATGAACCACACCACCCCGTCGTCCCATCCAGTCTCATTCATCCAGTTTCCAAAGACAAACGAGGCCGGTTGAAAGGTAAGATCTTTCTTAACGCCCACGGAGATGAGCAGGGCGAGAGAGAGGATCACAAACAGCGCGGTGAACCAGACTCCAACAAAGTTGTTCAGCCAGGGCAGGAACTTCTCCTTCCGGCAGCCAAGGAGGTTGATCACCGTCAGCACCAGGACGCATCCGATGTAGACGACGAATTCCAGCCAACCCGTACCAGCGCCGCTCCACGAGTTATCAAACAGGACCTTCATCCCCAGGAGGAACTCGGTCATGAAGGCCACCTGCGAGGCGGTCAGGGTCCACCAGCCGAAGGTGTTGATCCACGCACACATGTACGAGGCAAAGCGACCCAATGGGGTCTCCCAGAGTCGAAAGACCCAGTAGGCCTGGCCCAGGGCCGTGGGCATACTACTGGTCAGCTCCCCGAGGGAGACGGCGACGCACAGATTACATGCGGTGACCAGGACAAGACCCCACAGGATGGAGATAGGACCCCCATTGGTAAGCCCACTGTCGAGATCCTGGGCAAAGGTGGAATAGGTGCCTGATTGGTGCCTCAGAATTAGTTCATCAGTGTTTCTCTCTCTCGGCTAAGTTCAAGTGGGTCGGGGAAGTGGAAAAACAAGGACCGGACGGCCACATTGTCCAAGTGACAAGTGACGCAAGAAAGCAGAGCACACACACACCTAGGACGCAGAAGGCTAGCGAGAGCATGCTCCAGATATCAAATTTGCGCGACAGGGCCTGGTCATGGCCCATCGCGGCGAGGTCGCTGGCATCTTGGGCATGTTGATCGTCCGAGTGGAACGGTTTGAGGGTTTCGGGGTTTTCCACGTCCATACGGGAGGGAGATTCGCAGGAAAATGGGTGTTGTTGGTTTCAATGGATTGGTTGGTTGGATGGACAGTACTGTCAACCGACAGATAGGGCAATGTATTCGAGGGAGAGGCAGTTCATCCAACTGTCCATTTTCTGCTGACTGAGGAAAGAGTCACTCTCTGTGGATATCTCCTGAGGGGTGCTTGATATATGAACCAAGCGAAGAGAAGGTGCAGCAGTGAAGGGTGGCAGGCAGGCAGGCAGTCCTCGGGTTATTTCCCCTCACGGCGCGAGCATTCTGGGCCAGGCAGCACAACAAGATGGGTGATGGAAGAGGAGTTATCGAGTCTGGGAGGGGAAGATAATCAATGAATTCAGTAATTGGTCATAACTCAAATCTTCGTGAGTGGACAAAAAAGATAAGTCGGTGATAAGCGAAATTTTTTTTAAGGATTTGCGGGGGGGGAAGAAAGGAGAGGCTTGGCCTGGGAAGGAAGTGCTTAAGGCTCGGCAGGACTTCCCAAGTGGGGTTGGTAGCTTTTTTCGCCCCATCCACCCTTGCGTTGTCTTGCGGAACTATCATACATTGCAATGCTTGAATCAAATACTTACTATTCAGATCGATATCAAAGTGTATGAATTACAGATGGTTTGTATAGATGGAGATTGCATCACATTGCTGTATCTCGTCTACACCCTCGATTGACCTGCCCGATGGTTACTCAAATGACATCACTCCATCCGGCAGTCTTCTTCCGAAGTAAACAAATACGTCAATTCCCTTGAGGAATACTGGCTAATGAAAGATTTGCCCCTATCTACCCGACCTTGACTGTCATAGTCGACGGTTGCAGCAGAGCCGTCCCGTGAGCTTCCCCTCGGACCAAAGATAGCAGCTGCCTGTGACACTCCTCAGCATCATCCTTACTCCCAATCCGGCAAGTGCACGCGGTGGCGATAAGTCCGTCCGGGGAACCGATTGTCGATCGGATCCATGGCTTGTTATCTCCTCCGTGAACGTGAACCAGCATCCTCCGACTATAACTTATGTGGTCATAGCTGAGCACATTGTGATGAGAGCGATACGAGGAACACAATTGATCATTTGACATATGATTCATCTCCCGGATACCTTGTGAACACTCACCTGGACAAGGCATCCAGAAATCTTCAGCAACCTCCTGCTTTGACCATGCGAGACTAGTCTCAAACTCTATACTACCGACTTTCCGGCTTCAGGGAGGGTCGAAATGCGGGGTTGGGCTACAGGACGATCGGAGCGGCCCAGGGACACTGGCGGCTTGTCAGCTGGGATCGAAGATCCGACACCGGAATGGCGGTTTTAGGTTGCAGCACAAACGAGCTGGATGATAGGTCCAAAACACCGAGGACAGCGGGATATTTCACGCTTGGCGATAACTGAAGTACCTTGCCTGCCCTTAGCGTTTCGGAGCAGCATGTACTACTCGGTAGGGTAGCAGTGGACCTGGCAAATGCCCCTGGCTGTCCCTGCACCCGTCAATACAACAATAATGTTGCCTCTGCACTGCGACATCTCTGAATTACGAAGTCATCGCTTTTCTCACCCACTGGTTTCTTTGCTATTAAAACTGAAGGGCAGACCCAAAGCCATCTCCGCTGCGATCCAGCTATTCTTAGTGAGGTATGTTCACACAATTGGACACTTGAAGATCAGAAGAACCTGAGCAGATGGATTCGTGACATTAAATGCTGTATATTTCAATGCTAACTTTTTTGTCTAGGTGATCTCTCAGGTCCAGATTATGCCACTGCGAAGAACCCGTCATGGGATGATGACCAGAAGGAGTGACGGCGGAAGCCTCGCCCTCTATTAAAACACCACCAGTGCACCTACCGTCAATCTACGGTGTGAGTCACAGGTCTTGGGCTCCGATCACAATGGCTTAATCTTCTTATAAGTCGGGCTACTCTTCGCCCAATTTCTCCCCAAGACACCACATCCCGCTATCCCAAGCCACATGCTCCGTCACCCAGTGCCATCTCATGGGGGTCAAGTCAAGCCATGGCACAGGCGACACCCAAAGTGACGATGATCGAGCACCTGAGAAAAGGCGGGGAGATTGATGGGAAAGTCAAATGTTGAAGCTAACCACCAAGTGTACACACTGATCAGCAGTGCCAAGAATGGCAATACGAGATGGCTCATGGTCACCGTATGACATGGAGGCTAGCGGTTCATTGTAGTGCTATATAGACATCACTTGAACAACCTGAATTCATGGCATGCGAGTGTCCTAAGCTTCAATCAAAGGTGTCCTCGAGTTCACTTGGCACTGTTACCACTATGTTCACCAGCATAGGTCTTGTTGCTCTCGCAACACTCGGATTTCTCCATCAATGCATAGCCACCGCCAACCTCCCGCCCGCTGTCCTGAAACGAGATACCTTGCCGCCTGAGGCGGGCAGCCTTGCGAAGAGGGAAGTCTGTTCGGACGGTACCCGGTGCATTGTAGGCAGCTGCTGTGGTGAAGGGTGCTCATGGAACTGTTGTGGTCTGGACCAGGGTGGATGTAAGATCCCATCCCTCAATGCGTAGTCCTCTTATTGCGCATAGAACTATAAACGACTGACCGACAAAACAGTCGGATGCGATCTGGGCGCGCGGTGCCAATTTGACGGCAATGTGTTTATTGGATGCTGTGACAACTTCATCGGGTATGCCTTGTTCACCACTCATCTCCGCCAACAAGCATCGAGCTAACCTGGTATCTGCAGAGGTTGCACCGGTGAAGCCACCCGCATCACCGTCCACACCCCCTACAGCACCGTCACCTTGAGCGACTCGACACCTAAGGTATCAGCCGCGACGACGTCTATATTCACTTCGTCCACCACCACCGCATCAAGCGTGACCCGCACAACACCGGCACAAACCAAATCGTCCTCAGAATCAACCACCCCCTTCCCATCCTCCATCTCATCCTCATCCAGCACACCATCGCAGACTGACTCAACGTCCGCAGCGACAGGAACAATCACAATCAACCCAGCCTCGCGCACATCCACCGACTCTAGCGCTTCATCTTCCCCCTTCCCCTCTTCCTCCTCCTCCTCCTCCACCGCCACCTTCTCCTCGTCCACAGCCCTATCCACCGCACCCGCACAAACCGAATCCCCCAACAGTGCCGACATCCCCCGATCCCAAGTCCGGGAGATAGCCACCCTCGTTGGACTCGCAGCTCTCGCATCCTGGTATCTCTTCTAGACGTCTATCCACCACCAAGTCACCACTCTTCGTCATCAATCATTTCTCGTTCATGAGCATAGCATAATCCTCTAGATTGAACTTACCTAATGTATCAAACAGCCCTTACCATCCATATCCCACATCTCCCCAAACAACCACCCCCATACAGCAAGCACCCAGGCCCCTCCAACCCTCTCATAACCCAGCGAAAACAAGCACCAAGCCTCACCACCATCGTAACCCCACCGCAGCCCACCCCCCTGAGCTACACTACCCAGAATTCCCTGCAGTATTGATGCAAGTCACGCAAGCCGATCGCCTCACCCCTCTATCTTGAGTATCACCCCGACCACGATCGGCCCATACTACCGATACATACTATCGATAGACTTCCCAACGACTGCGCCACGACCAACACCCTAGTCCCATAGACGAGACATGGTGGAGCACAAAGACCATCAGGAAGTGTAGCCCGTGTAGCCATGTGGGTACGGTACCGGATGGAGCTCTCCGAACGGGAGCCTAACCTCGGGGACGGTCGTATGATCGACCACTAAGCCCCCACCACCCTCCGGAATAGTTCTCCGGGGGGATGCGGAAGGGTTGAGTGGAGTTTGTGCGAGGGGTGGGATGGGTACGAGGTAGGGGCATTACCGGGGAGGGGGGCAGCGATGATCTAGATTCTTGGGTTGGTGGTTTCGCTGGAGGGGTCTACCTATTCAGTTTTAGGGCCTTGGTTAGGAGGGTGCACGTGATGATGGTGGAGGTGGGGGTGTTCTCTAGTTTTTGGTTTTTTGGGGTGAATAGGGGCTTTCTGGGCTCATGTGCGTGCTGTTGTGGTATATGCTTGATGCATTATACGGGATATTCAGGTGAGTAGATGAGGTGGTTCGGTCCCCGGGGGGCTGATTGATGATGGGATGGATAGAAGCGTACGTTGCTTTCGTGGAGCGAGTTGTAGGTATATCTCAGACTCTGGCCCTTACACAGAGTACTGCATACTGCAGCCTGAATCAAGCATTGTGGTGGACTGGGTATTCTCTCGATCTTATTACACTCGGCCTCGTAGAGTGTATGGCACGGGAGAACTGCTAATGTAGCCCCTGGATGGTAGCCCGGTAGGACACCCCTACAGTCATAAATCTAGATACAGCCACAGCGGAAAGAGCCTTATACCTAGCACTAATCGCTACCTTAAAACCAGTCTCCAAGCACTGAGCATGTACACAAGCAGATTAAGGGAGAGATTATTCTCCAATTCAAGACCGATCGAACCACACCATAACCATGGTTCACATCTCAAATCCTCCTTTTCCGGAATAGCGTATTCTGTAGAATGGGACCCTGGGACCCTTGCCAAGATAATTCTTAGGATCCTGTGCTAAGACAGCCAGCAGGGACGGACAGTCCTGGCATACTCATAATCATAATACTCAAGGACTATAGCCTACCGCCTTCCGAGATTCTAGACATTTCTGCCGGGCCGACAGCGACTACGTATGTATATCATGGTCGGCACAACTGGCGGTGTGCGCGTCTCGAGGACTCGAATTTCCGGCCTTGTTCTTTCGTCATTGGAGAGTGGGGAAGGCTGTTGAAACATCAATGTCGTGAATCCAGAGCATCACGGACTTTAGAGGTGTTTTCTTGGGTTGCGATTCATTAGCTGAGTATTTGCTGACGTGCTGGAATTCCGTCGTCTGGCGTTCCCAAGCCATACTGAGATTGCACATACCCTACCGTACTTTTATCTACTGCCAGTTGAGGAAGGGATGTGGAATCTATAGACTTCATCTTAGTTCGTGATACTCCTATCCTCAAATCAATCTCAAAGGATCTACACCAGTAACTCAGAAGCAATTTGTTCCGGTTGTGCTTTAACACCGACTAAGAATATATGTTCCGCAAGGAAACAGCATACAGTGCACATCCTGACGCCCGCTTTCTACAGAACATAGTAGTTTTCTACAGCCTAATATTTAGCACTGACATGAAACACACAGAAAAAGCTCGCGACTCACGCATCTATGAAAAAAAAAAAAAAGGCAAACGAAGTAAGGGTATCCTCAGGAAAGACTGATTTGTAAGCTGCACCGATCCCCAGCAACCTCTTTTGACATCTTGGCACCCGCTTTCCCGAAACAACCAGATTTCATCCACGCCTCGGAGAAAGCAGTTCTGACAAACCTATGACTTGCTCGAAATAAATCCTACAGGATTCAAAAGACCTGCTATAAGGGATCTTTGCCAGACTCTTTCCCTAACATCTCGAACCCTCCCCAGCACCACCGAAGAAACCACATTACGTCATCGCGTCGACACCTCCCCTGAAAATGCCCACGATCGGAGTCTTCCCCGCCGCCGGCGCCCTGGGCACCAGCACGGTCAACCACCTCATTAAACTCGTGCCGGCGTCCGACTTGATCCTCGTGGCGCGGAAGCCGGACAACGACCACCTGGCCGAGCTGGCCCGCGCGGGGGCAATCGTCCGCCGGGCCGACTACGAGGAGCCGAGCACCCTGGACTGCGTCTTTGACGGGGTCGACGTGCTGCTGTTGATCTCCTATGCGTCAATTGAGATCCAGTTTCGGTTCGAGGTTTGTTTCCTACAGAGGGCTGTGGCGTTGCAAATACTGGAGAAACCTCAGCTAAAGGCCGAGACAGGCACATAAACACGCCATCGACGCGGCGCGCCGCAGCGGCGTGAAGCACATCTTCTACTCGTCGCTTGGGTTTGCCGGTGATCTGGAGAAGAGCAGCGTGGCGCACGTGATGAAAGCGCACCTCAAGACGGAACGGTATCTGGCGGAGTTGCAGTCCTCGTCATCTAGTACTCAATCTACCTATACGGCGGTGCGGGAGGGGATCTACTCGGAGTCGTTCCCGATCTACACGAGCTGGTTCGACCTCCACCACCCGGCGGACGAGGTGGCCATCCCGCATGCCGGGGACGGGCCCGGGGTGACCTGGGTGAAGCGCGACGAGCTGGGCGAAGCCACGGCGAAGCTCATCGTCGATTATACGGAAAACCCGCGCGAGTTCCCGTACGTGAACCGCGTGCTGCTGCTCACGGGCCCGCGGGAGATCTCGCTGCGGGAGACGGTCGAGATCCTGGGTCGGGTGATCGGGAAACCCCTCAAGATCCGGGAGATCTCCATGGATGACTTTGTCAAGCTGCCGCAGCATGGGAAGAAATTCTTCTACCATGGGATTGATCTGACGAGGGAATGGGCCACGGCTTGGGATGCCATTCGGCGCGGGGAGACGGCGGTCGTGTCGCCGCTCCTGGGCCAAATCTTGGGTCGCGAGCCGGAGAGCTTCGAAACCACGATCGAGGTATTGTATAATAGTGGCGAGTCGCTGGCTGAACGCAGATACTAGAGATCATCCTTCGGAATATAATAAAATCATATTTCTCGCAAGAATTTCGATGACGCAAATCATGACCGCTCGAATTCTGCATAGCGGGGTAAATGGCGGGTAAGCTTCGGGCCCTGGATGGCTACCCGCGCCGGCGACGAAACTTGCCGATATTCTTCTCGGTCGGCACTTGACCCTGCAGACAGGATACAGAGTTTATCAGGATGCGATGCCCCTGTGGGCTCGTGACTTGCTTGCAGGGTCGAAGATCCTCCCCCGATCCCCCCTCCCCCGCGAAGAACAACCGACCGCCTTTGCCGTCAGGCGGGATTAATCTCTTCCGGCCACTTGTTACGGCACTACCCCCACGTCAACACCAGCCGTCGGGTGGTCCAGAGCCGGGGTGCGCTGACCTGCACGGCAGATCTAACTTAGAGACTAGGCATTAGGCAGTCCGGTCCGGTCCCGCTGGTCTAAATCTGGTGATGGTCAGTGCTTGTGGAACTCGATGACGGTCGAGGCTTGCAGATGTCAAAACGTAGCCTAGCTCTAGCCCTCTGGGTGAAAGGTGAGGGCATGATCTCAGCCTTGAAGGGGTACCGGATCACAGGCTGACTTCGCCTGTCTTGCCCATGCACCTGCTGGCGCTGGGTGTGCCAGACTGAGGCCAAAGACCCGCCTGAGACAAGCTGCTGAGATCTCGAGCTTGGATCTGCTGGCCGTGATCTTGCAGCTGCCTCTGATCGCATACCCATTCCCGTGCCTAGACGATTAGAGTCTGTAATAAGATTAGCCAAAGAACAAATCGGGTGGCTGCACTGCGGGGTTACCGTTCTGGGCTGGCGTTGTGAAGCTAAAGTCTAACCTTGTCCTGCCGCTAAGGGCCCGAGTAGCACTGGTCAATGACGCAGCGCATAATTCTGGAATACGTTTTGTGTTGCCTGTGAGTGGTAGCAGAAAGGCATAGGGCTGACACCCCGACTGAGATATCCGAATTTCGTCCGAATAAAGCAAACTTGGGCCAGTACTGGGTAACTACTATGTAGTTGTCATGATCCTTGATGGGGGATAATGTATCCTCGAAAACGATGATTCTGCGTTCAAAACCCCGTATCATGATCATCTCGTGTGCCGGAAACATTTCAACCGAAGGAAACAATACTAGTCAGCTGCTGGCAACACGACATCTGAGTCACGGGAACGAGGCGATCAGGCAGTTTTACCAAAAGTGTCAGATTGGGACCATTTTGGCGCTGTTCTCCAGACACAGTTGACGGTTTCTTCCGATGGAGACGAAAATAATCAGGCTTCGATTTGGTTGGGGATCTCACGTTACAGATTTGGGAAGGACACTAACGAGGAAAGCTTCAAGGGTTCTGAAGATGCCGGATCACACCACTGGGTGGCATCGCAACAAACCCTTGGGATCCGGCATCCGGTCCGCCTGGCTAGTGAAGGCGCTTCCGCTGTGGAGGGACCTGGACCTTACTCTAACTCAACCAGGCTATTTCTCCAGTGCTGGATGCCGAAAAATTTACTAGCGTCCGTCCGCATTGCTTGGGAGGGGGGAGGGAGGGGCCGTGTGCATGCCGGAGATTTCGAGGTCGATTCATTCGTCAGTTGAGCTTTAGTCGGATAGCTTGCTTGCTTAGTCCCTAGTTCACTTTCTTGCTTACCTACTCCATAAATTAACGAATGTTAAGTGAAGTGATTAGTTTTTCGATGTATGGTCCATGCCGAGTCGGTAATTCCGGAGTGAAACTGTCAGGGTGACGAGTTCGATGCGTAGACCCGGGACTTGGTACCTTGCCTCGAGAATGGAGCCGAGCCCCTCTCGAAAGTCCTAATCAGGATCTGGCAGGAGGGGTAGGAATCCGACTCGAGTCTCCCGAGACGTCACTGCAATCTACCCTGACACCACATTCATCGTCGGGCTGATTATCATTATGTCACTGTCACTGGGTTCGGCGAAGTGGGAAATAATGCAGAGCATAGGCAAGGCCTTCAATGTCAACCAGCGCAGACAAATCAATATGAATTTTCCGCTGAATCCGCTTCGGCTGTTGTTTTTGTGCGCGCGCACATATGTGTGCGTGTGTTTGTTTGAACCGAATGTATAATATGCTGGTTATAATGGCCGCCATCCTGTCTAGACTCTAGACTCGCTCCACCCAGACGGTTACCGATCCACTTGCCTTGGTCTGTGTGCCCCCGTGATCTAAATCAGGAGTTGATTCCCGCCCGGAAAACTAATGCTCAATTATCTCGAGTCTCATTCGTTTGAAAGAGGAATCGGGAATGATAACAAAATAGGTATGGCATTGCATATCTCACCATGGGCATAAGGATGTTTCCACGACAATAATGGGTCATCATTAAAAGCTACGCAGCCAGAAAACTGAAGGGTAGGGAGCCTGGAGCTTTCTCGGTACAGTCAGGTCAGTACCTTACTTCGACCAGTTGGGCACCGGACTAGGGGCAAAAGCACCGCAGGGGCGAGTTGTCAATGGTAGCCTCAGCATTGGTGGATGAATCGATATATTATCCTGCCAATGTGATACAGATCGGTTCCCGACTCGTGTAGGCGAAGAAAACGAAGTACGAGGGAGGTTTCGGATTAGTCGAGATTTCCATCTATCCTGCTCCGTACAGATCGCCTTGCAATCTGAACTGGCACCGAAGGCTTCGTGTAGTTGTACGTATCACAGCACCCTCGGGCATAGAACGAAGTGAAACGGGTTGTTGCGGCCCATTTCCGCCGGGGATGTCCTTGAATCCTGAGGTCCAGAGATCCTGAGGCACGACTACGGAAGAGCATTCAACATGATCCCTTTGACAACTACCGAGCTGCGTGCCAGGTCGCAGCACTGCAGGCATTATGACGGGCTTGCCGTGATAAGGAATGAGGAAATCTTCTGCATCAGATCGACTCTGTTGTGATGACGGATAAAATCACCTCAAAGGGGCAAGAGACACGATTTGCATCAACCCAAGACAAACCAGACCTCGGGGAAAAAATCAATTCCGCCGCGACATGCTTCGCTCCCCTGCAACGTCTGCACAGGATCTGCCAGTCTGATACTCCGTGTACCGTACTTCGTACAGTGCATGGACTGCACGAGTGCACGTAGCAGCCAGCCTGGAGGACGTTCAAACAGTTCAAACCAGTTTGCCCTCCGGCCGAACAACGACTGTTCGGACCCGAGACTCGGCCGCCGGACAACTTGGCAGAACCACTTTGCCCCTTTAGGCGATCACGGGTCCACCCGAGGTTTCCCATGGATACCAATCAGGTCTAGATTCCCCTTTGTCGCCCACTTGGAGCTGAGAAGTTTCAACGGTTGTGCATCATCGATCGATCCACTTTCACCCGATCCCTCCCTCCTTCTCCCCTCCCTTTATCCCCTCCTCCACAGTCTACAGTACAGTCCAGATACTCACCCAGACAGCCTCGCGCCTCGAGGCAAAGGGCTACTGTACTGAGGAGGTAAGGTAGTGTAAGTCAAGTCACCTTAAATCACCTAGTACAAAGTACTCCGTACTGTAGTAAGGATACTAGGTAGCCCTGAGTTTGCCTCCCGTCTCAGTGCGACGGCGGCCATTGCCGTCGCTGTCTGCCAGGTCCGTCACAGGGTTGTCCGTACCAGTGACCTCAATAGACTATGGGGAAATCACTGCCGACTGAGGTACTGCTGAACTTTACCCTGCTTCTCAATGGAGGATCCGACGGACGGCTCTCTTTCGGAGCCGGCCGAGTCGCAGTCAGTCAAGTCAGTCATTCCCTCACCAACCTAGTCAAGTCAGTCAGTCTGTCAGTCTGGAAGAATGGATGCTCTGCATCCGGCTGGGGTGATCTCGGCTGTGCTTCACCGGCCCTGTGCAATAATCGGTTTGACAGGACTGGTCACTGCGTTCTTTGCCTCGTCTTTTTTTTTTTCTTGTCCCCTGATTAATTTTAATTATTTTGTTTCTATCTATTTTTTTTTGCCAATTGTTGTGGTTCTTCTTACCTGCCATTACATCATTGGCTTCGGTTGGTCTAGGGATCGGTTTCCAACACCGGCTTCTCCTGAAATTCCCATCAACCTTTATATAGAGCCCCTCCCCGAGCGCCTCTCTGTTCGTGATCCTTCAGATCCATGGTTCTATATTCAGAAGCTTCCTACCTACTACAAACCAATCTGCAAATCTTTGCCACTCGACTTTGATATCTTTTGGATCATCGTCGACTACCTACACCGATCTACCTCGCAATTACCGGTCTTCCCAATCTCGACGAAGACAGACCAACAGTAAACAATGGCATACACCAGACCCGACACTTTTACATTACCGGAGGACGAACGGATGTTCTTGAGTCAACCAAGTCCACTTTCTCGTCCCCACGACTCGTTCTCCAAGGGTCCCGACCCATTGACGGCCAACTGGAACTACGACAGCGCTATTGATTTGTTCTCCTTGAACACGATGATTCCCGAGACTTTCCCCCTGGAGATGTCCAATGACATGATGACGCTGGACCCCAAGGATTTTCCCACCGACTTCTTCGCCCCGCCTCCCGATATCAGTGGCTTCACCATCTCCAACCACTCGGGCGAGGATGCTGCCTCCTGCGGCTCTTTTTCTTCTGTATGTTGATCGCTGGCTATATTCTCAATCGTCTAGGACTAACCTCTCATTGATAGGACCTCGAAAGTGACGATCAGTCGTGGTCCCCCACTTGCCGTGTCTCTCCTCTGGACTCCATGCCCATGGAGTTGCCCAAGCCTGCGTCGAGATCGGTGAAGAGTGCCACCCGCCGCAAGACTGCGACTGCAACCCAGCAGCAGAAGGCCCGTGACGATATGGTGAAGCGATGGTCGTCCAGTCCGGAAATTACACCGCAGGATTACCCCGCTGCCAGCGTGTCTCCTCTCCCCACCCCCTCATCCCCGGTCACTGCTACCCGCAAAACGACACGCAGCATGTCTGGGGACTCCAATGCCAGCACAGGCCCGGCCAACCCGGCAACGGGCCGCAAC